TAACACACTGAAAATAATTTATTAAATAACAAAAATGTAAGTACATGTAAAATAATTTTAATACAATTACTATTCATACATCATAACACTAATAATAGAAACAGGCAAAATCATAGCAGCAATCTCCATGCAACTATATTCAATTTAAACTAATAGAAAACAATTAGTAAACAACAAATTAATTGATTGATTACTAAATTTCTAAACAGAGTAGGTATCTGATTTAATGATAACGTTTTTTCTTTCTTTTCACCTGAAACAAATAATTACATGCTTAAAATATAAAACTAATAATAACTGATTATTGTTTAACCTAAAAACAAAACACTAAAAACAATAAACTAAAAATAAAATAAATAATTATTATTAGTTAAATAAATTGTTTACATTTTATTAGATAGGTTCTAAATCTACCTAGGTATCAAAGGTATGCAATTTATAAATATTAAAATTTCACAATAACCATATTTTCTGGAAGTTATTGCTACAAATTTGACTTGGTATAGAATAAACTAAAAAAGTCATTCAGTGGTGACACTATTTTTAAAAATTAATGATGGATTCATTTAAATTTAAGAGATTTTTGATTTTTCTAGGCACATAACTCTCTACTCAGGTGACCTGGATAATTGACTAAGCAAGATCATTAACATTTATTAAGGATGGGTACAATTATAGGAGATGGTATTTACATGCAGATCCAAGCGTTAAGTATAATTAGAGACAAAGCACTCATTATACTGATTAGAATGATAATATTGTTTGTATATTTGAATGCTTCCTAAAATAATAATTTAAACAAAAATGAATATAAAAAATATAGTTGAATCAAATAAATTATGGGCAAAACAAGAAATATATTAGTTTCCCCAATTTTTTAATTTATAAAAAATCTTTTATTTTTAAATGCTAGAATAATTGAGGAGGGAGTACACAGGACAGAGCCCCTCTATTATTTTTTAACTTGGAAGGGGGATGGATAATAACTAATACTCGAAAAAGTTTTATAGAAATATGGAGTTGACTTAAATTATCAAAAATAATATACATACCTAATGAATTTCACATTTTTTTAAATTTTTCTATGGTTTATACTAATTACTAAGTATCTAATACCTTGCTATTTTTGTATTATAATTGACTTATATTATACCATGCTTATTCATTGTTTATGTTAGTAGTGTACGATACATAACTATTGTATCATCAAAATCTGCAGTGGACTAGTGTCCAGGGCCATAGCAAGAATTAGTAATGCCCCTGGCGAAAAACCAAATTAGTGCCCCTATTTTGTCTAAAATAATAATTTCAAAATCTGCAACCAGACACAAAAACTGATACTAAATACCTCCTAAATTAATTTTCTTTATAGTATGATACGAATTGCTTACTGAGAAATCAAAAACGGACACAACAAAATATTATTGACTAAAAGAGAGCTAAAAAATAATTAGATTAAGAAATAATATATGTACATACATTTGTCAGAAATAATATGCAGAAGAAAATGTTAGATATGATCAATTTTATTTTTAAAAAACCAAAACATCATGCATTTGATCAGTTTTTGATTTTACAATATTAATTTCTACAATTTCCAATTCAAATTTTATTGATCTATGCTATAAAATTACTAGTAATATATTTAAAAATAAAACAGTAATTGTTAACATTTTTTTTTCGTAGTTTCTTATAAACATTATTATAAAGTTAAATCATTAAATAATTCAATTGGTACCAGCATTTTTATTTTTATTAAGGAGTATATGAATAATTTAAAAATATTTCCTACTTTTGATACAATCTACTAGTCTATAATTATATAAACACACACACACCAAATTATTACATTAGAAAAAAAAAAACTAAAATAACTCTTTGTCCATAAGTCATCACCATTCTACAATATGTATACCTTTTTTATTTTTTTATTTTATAATATAAATAAATTTACAATCTGTAATAAATTTAAACAATAAGAAAATATGAGATTTTTTTACTAGGTTTGGAGGCTTGACTGAAGGGCGCGTCCATTGACACTACTTCAAACTGGTTTTTATGTATAACTTTTATAATTATTTTTCCTATACATTTCAAAATTTCTTAAAAACGTGATAAATAGTAACTTTGTTACAATTTTATTTGTTTCAATAAACAAAGTTCTATTAACACATAAATTAATAAACATTAAATTAATACAAATAATTTTCTTATAATAATATTAAATCATAACCAAGAACAAGGATGTATATTTAATTATTTTTTTAAAGGAGAGGAAAAAAATGTTTTTGTTCTATTAAACAAATACATTCTTGACTTAAAACTAATAACCTAATTAAACAGTATGTTAMATTTTTACTAAATAAAAATGTATGACAACATTGAAAAGATTTTTTATCTTATTTTGCAATTTAATATTATTTTTTTTAAATAGTAATAAAATAAAGTGATTAATATCACCAAGGACTTAAAAAATGAACTTTAAATATAACTTTAAAAAAACAAATATTTGTCACCTATTAAGCTATAAGTACAAATTATAATAAGATGTAGAGTATACCTAAATCAATTTTACCTAATAATTATTTAGTAGACATAATAAATAATTTATATTAAAATTATACAATTTTAAGTAAATTACTAGGTAATATTTTATGGACTTTCAGTTATACTCAAACTCATATTAACTTTGCAAATACCATGTAAAAGATGAAAAACATTTAAAAACAAAAAAATATTATTTCAGTTTTTTTAGTGCTATACCCTATTAAGTGAAAGCTGTTCGCATATTTTTATGTTTATGCAGGTTACAATCATTTGGAAGCTGTTTTTAATGTTACATACTTATTTTCTCGGTAAAATATTTTTATAAATAATCAATCATAATGTTGTATTTTTACAAAAAAAAATGAGAAACATTACCACCAATTGGCATTATCTTGCAATTTCTAAAAAATATAATTTTTAAATAAGAATCCCAACCACTCAATATTTATAGTTATAGATATAAATTTAAAATTATCAAAACACACACAATATAACCCATAATAGTCATCAACATTATTATATTTTTATTTGAAAAATTGCATTTATTAAATGATTTAGAATGATTAAAATTATATTTTATAAAGTAGACAATTATATATTAAATATTAAAATGTCTTTAGAATTGAAGATTAAATTACTGGAATTCTACAATGTCAAAAAACAAAACATAAATTCTTATGGTTCAAAATGAAAATAAAGACAAAAATTAATTTTAATTGACAAGTTTGCATAGCACTAAATATAATTATTATATTTTAAATTGACAATGTATGAATATATTGTCAATTTAAAATATAATAATTATATTTTAAATTGACAATGTATGAATATATTTAATGATAGTAATAATCAAGTATCAATGCATGGCATATACAATTTTATATGCAGATATTTAAAAATTTTAATGAAATTAAATTTATTATAATACAGGGTGTCCCATGAAGATTTACCCATTGCAATATCTCCCGAAATAATGGTGATATTGAGATTCTGGTTTTGTAATAAGACTCACAGGGATAAGAACTACAATTATTTCATATTTTAATTGGTTTTAATATTTTGGTAAAAATATTAAAAGATACATTTTTTTATTTATTTATTTCCCAAAAATTAAAGATAGCCATTTTGTAGAGTTTATTTTTCTGAAGATATAGACATTTCAAAATTTTATTTTCATTAATTTCCTGATTTTAAATATTTTTTTAGTTTCGAGAAAATTGCAAATTATTTAACACCATAATGTTATCAAACATGTGACCTGCTGCTCCTCGCGCATTCCCATTCGGCCAGCTGAATACCTTTCGTGTTCTTAATAGTTATAAATTATTATAATCATATTTTATTTCTTCAAAACTAGAAAAAATATTAAACATCAAGAAATTAATGAAAATAAAATTTTGAAAAGTCAAYATTTTCAGAAAAATAAACTCTACAAAATGGCTATCTGTAATATCTTTGGATATAATTAAATAAAAAAATATATTTTTTACATTTTTTACAAAMACATTAAAATAAATTTAAAAATGAAATAATTTTAGTTCTTATCCCTGTGAATCTTATTATAAAATCAGAATTTTGATATCACCATTATTATAATCCTCGCGGGACACTCTGTATATTTAACTACATTTAAAATTTTAAAATAAAGAAATATATAGGTTTGAAATCATATTTATTTTCTTTGGAAATTCTTTTGAGTAGTAAAAGCTCTAAGTATCTATTTTAGAAATTTTAAAGTAATTTATACTCTTTTTTCAAATMTGACGAACTATTGTTTAATATATACATAAGATCTAGTTTAATATGAACTAAATGTTATTTTATAATATTTTATAATAATTAAATACGTAATAAAAATATAAAATCACTGATCACACTCAGTTTTCAGCATAACCTAATACATTTGGCAATACTTTGACAGGTAAGTAGTTAAATCTAAAACCACAGTATTAATGGAAGAATAAATAAAAATTAATTATTAACAATAAAATCACAATATTACTACTAAAAAACAAATAACTTTGGCACATTGTTTCTAAACATGGTAAATTTAATGTCAAACCATAGTTTCTATATCACTTATAACTTCAATAATACCACTTTCAGATACTTGAATAGCAACCCTAGTGAAATTTTCTTTACTTTCAACTACATTTCTTACCTTTGTTTTTTCACAATTAATAACTCTTTTTTCAGTACACGGTAGATTATCAGGTTCATCAATATTAAGTTTTTTTTCATCTATTTGAAATTTTTTAAGAGCTTTATTGCTAGGAGAGGGTGACAAGAAAGCACTTTTCAAGTTTAAATCCAATATATCATTAGTTGAGTACTTACTGTTTCCATTCATTAATTAGCAGCAAATAATAAGATAAACATAAGTGTTAAACAAATAGGTAACAAGGGTACACTAGCTACATTGGATGATATTTCCAATGCTTTGGATATACACCTGACCATGGTCTGACTTATAGTAGATGCACAACCATATTGACACTAATATTATAATTTATAGTAATAATTACATCTCCACATTTTTACTTTTCTTGAAAGTACTACCATGAATGTAGATGAACTTAATAGAACAATATTGTAAACTATCCGGAATAAATTCCAGTTTCTTTGGGTATTTTTAATGAGCTACTGAATAATGTGCTACAATGGCTCGTGGAAAAATCATGACAACTTTTTCTTTTTTTTCAAACTTACTTTGAAAGTCAGAGTAGTACTTAAATAACTGACCAACTGCTAACATTTTATTTGTTTAATAATAATTTTTTATGCTATAAAATCACTAAAAACAAGTCACTTTCTTAAACTGTAAACTGTATGTCATATTATGTGCAGTAGCATATTTTGGGGGATTTCTAATAGGGCGACCAACATTTAATGAATAAACTAACTAAAATAAAAATAGTAAATTATAAAATAAATGATTAATAACAATATTTAGACCTTTTTATTAAAGTCGGGAGGTGTCTAGACATGATAAACTCCCCCTTTCCGAAATACACCACTGTTCATGTGTTATGTATAATATATTTATATTTAACATTACACAATATACAATAAGTACATCCTAACACTAGTGACTAGTGTTATTAAAATAAAATCAMATATGTCATACAGTTTACAGTTTACAAAAAATGACTATACTAGTTGCGCCGAGAGAGCGCAAGTCGGCGGCGACCAAAACTCATCGTAGTTCGCGCATCGACGGTGTACGACCAGTCCACTTGGTGGGAGAAATTAGAACTCAAAACCGCGGAGCGACTTAATTTGGATCCGCGGCTGACTTGCACTCTCTCGGCGCAATTAGTATAGTTTTTAGTGATTTGATAGCATAAAAAATTATTATTAAATAAATAAAATTTTAGCAGTTGGTCAGTAATTCAAGCCGTTCTTTAACTTTCAAAGCGAATTTGAAAATTACAAAAAAAAATATATTTTTTTTATGAATTTTCCACGAGCCATTGTCGTATATTTTCATAAAAATACCTAAAGAAACTGAAATTTCCTCTAGATGGTTTAAAATAATATTTTTAAGTTTATCTTCTTTCATGATAGAATTTAAGTATTTAAGTATTTTACTTAAGTAAAAATGTGAAGATATAATTATTACTGTAAATTATAATATGATCATGTGTTTACTTTTAGTATCAGTCCGTCCATAGTTGGGATCCTACTTTTAGTCGGGTCATGGTCGGGCATCTACTATAATCCTGACTATGGTCAGGTGTATATCCACCCGTGTATTTCAACAGTTAACCATGCATTATCTTAAAAAGTATTTTAAAGTATTTTTTTTTTTAAACATTTTTTTTTAGATTGGTTATTTCAAGTTTTTATAAACATTAAAAAATAATAATAATAATAACAATTTTAAAATATAATTTTTTCTAAAAATGTTTTGTTTATGTAATGGTTTTGAAAAAATATTTTTAAAAATTGTAATACTTTTCTTGTTAATAAATGTGAACTGTAAAAATAATCATCCAGTATAATATATAAGTACATATTATGATATAACTTACTTATTCAGAGTTTCATAAAGACCATGTTCTTTAATATAAGATTCAACCAACTCGCTAATAAGAAATTTTACACTTTCATTGCGAGATAATGCCCTGCGTACTTTTGTTGAGCTAACTTCATTTGTTATCCATTCAGTTACAACAATTATGTTTGCCTAGAATAGAAAAAACATTCATATACATAAATAGTTATAAATAAGTGTATAGACATTAATATAATATATTAGATTACCATATATTTAGTTAAAATATTAGATTCATAGATAAATTTATGAGGATTGGATCCCGAACGACTAACAACGACCAAACCATAATCTCGAACAATAGCTTCTATCTATAAACAATACATTGAATTCATTATTGTGATTTATTACTATTTTAAAATAAAATATTACTTGTGAATGCATTGATTACTATTTAGAACATAAATATAAACTTCTAATGTCTACAACAAACAATAACACGTACATCATCATCACTCCATAAGCCTGGAACAGCAAAAGATTCCAATAAATCAGCACCGCACAAAAGTCTTACATTCACTGCTCTGTTTTGATTTGAATCGTTGACATTGATATTATCAATAAATTGGAATGGGAATAATGAAGTATCGACTTTTATTGCGTCATCCAGTCTAGAAGTTATTATCATATTGAGATGATTCTGTAATATTATTATAGCTATAGGAGATGAATCAATATGCATGAAAACAAATAAATGGATAAATATTTACCTGGTGATATTGCAGTACTTGTCTTGTTCTTGTCCAACCGTTTTGTTTTACTTCCCAATCAGACATCTTCACCCAAGGTAATGCAACAAGAGCTTGCTCGATCATTGCACACCTATGTGACGATGGTGCTAGATCTTTCTTTTTATATGAATCATGAGTAGGTGATATCAACCCCCCACAAATTGTATGTCCCAAACGATTTAAGTGATCTCGAGCAATTTCTAAGCAATATCATATAAAAAATAATTAACAGTTTCTACAAAAACAAATAATAAAAAATTTTACCGAACATTCGCAAATGCATATTTGTTGGTGGGTTAAAAGATCCAGTTGACAACAATATTATATTTTTATTGTCCAAAAACATAGTTAGGTATTTGAGATGATTTTTTATTTATCAAAAAGTTATAAACTTAAATCCCTGATGGTATTAAATAACAAAACTCGTTATTATAATCTGGTCGGAATTAATGTTTGTTTAATTAAAATAAGTTACAAAATACTAAGTACTAGAAGTCTAGAAGTAGTCAGTGGACTGAGTCACAAAAAATAGATATCATCATAATAATGAATATTCAGTAGACAATAATTGTAGTTATTACTCATTTTCGTTTCACTAATTCACCTTCAATTACATTTTTAACATTTTGACATTTTGTATCGTTTATTTGTGGTGTGTTATCGCCATTCACCATTGCTTATCTGTAATCACTATTCGCCATGAACCATAAAACAGCAATAGAACCATGACCATTGACCGGTGTGAACTATGATACCATTATCATCAGGAGATTTCCCAAAGGAATTCTATTTTCTAAGCATAATATTCCAAGACCTATAGAGAATCTAATCTTTTTATAGATCTTGCCAATCTATAATTCACCGGCTGGCGGCTATACCGTAGCCCGTGTCCCGTAGCCGTAGGCCTTATGAGGTCTGCTCTTACCCAAGAAAAATATACTACATTTTAATTGGGGTTKATAACTTTTTAAAGTGAACAATAGAGCAATTTTTATTGTATAGTAGTCACTGGATGAATACCTAACGCATTTTTTTTTTTTTTTTAAACATATTATTTATTGAAATATAGATAATCTGTATATAGTATTCGCAATACAAGGACCGATGGACCTGAGGGTATGAAGAGAGAAGTCACTCAGCGGTAACACATTCAGATATGATCGATTACATATTAGGTATGGTATTGTGTAAAAATGTACAATGTACTTATATTACATTTTTATTTTTTTTTAATTGTTTAATTTTATCGAACCAAGTCACGACATCAGCGCCTTTTAAGTTTTAAACCTTCTCGACGAATTGCAACTTTTATAACCGTTTAAACGTAGATGTAAGAGGTAAAAAAGACAATTTTGGCTCAAATATAATACGTTCTACGAGTTGCAACTTTCATTATATATCGTTTAATCATCTGCATCCGATATCTGCTATTCGTGGTCAAATAAGAACACCAATTTCATCAAGCGTTTTAAAACGACAATGTTCAGTAGGTACTTTTTGGAAAAAGGATTAAAAAGTTATTAAACATATAAGTAACAGGTCTTTTGGTCTTTATGGTTGAAGTTTCTACTCAATGTCTTCTCTGTAAGTGTGGCAGATCCACAGCATTCAAATCCTAGATTTGCCACTGAGTTCAGGCTACTAAATGATTAGGTGGTGACTAAGCTAAATATCTAGGTGCTCAGCAACTATTAGAAGAGAGCGATAAAAATATTGAACTGATAAGCTATACGTATTGAAATAAAAGTGTTGGTGGGTTCTTAAGATTATAATTTAAATGGTAAAAATAATTTCAGAATAATTTTGCATTTATTAGAAACGCATGAGTGTAAATCATAAACATAGTAATAATCTCAGCCCTTTTAGCTCAACACAATATTATACAATATAATATTAATTATTATGTATTATGTAATAAAACAAAATGAGCCTACTATTACCTACTCACAATTTTACCAAAATATATAATACTAAATGATGAATGATGATGTAACTAATAATTTTGAATTCTTATAAATTTGTTATAATTACCCACTAATTAACAACCAATCAATCAAATATAAGATAGATAAATAGAAATAGTTTTTTTTCTGCAGCGGTGCAGTTACTGATTGGGCATTAAAGTGTTGTCGACAAACGCTATCGCTGGTACAATTTTGAGCTCTTGGATAACATCAGCAGTTAACGGATTATAGTATATTAATGTATTTAAAGATAAATAAGAATATACGATTAAATAATCAATATAGAAGTGGCCCAAACATTATACATGCAATTTATTATATCTTTCAATCTTTACCAGGATTGTTTTGATATTTATTCATAGATTTATTAGGTACCATCTATTGAAACAAAAATAGTACACGTAGTTAATTTTAACAACGGTAACAATTTCTTGGTAAGTCGTCCATCGTCATCGTCTTCATAATAATTCTCATGATTCTTATAATCATGACCGTACAACAGTGCTATTATAGTTATAGACTATGGATCATGGATGGATGGAACCGTGTCCGATAACTTAAAGCATTGATAAACCAACGACAAGTCGCTGTCAGTCTGGCAGAGATGCTAAATGTACGCATGTGTCACAAATTTATCTAAGCGAATTGATACAAACAAAAAATATACGCCAATAACTAAATATGCGACGGTATACGCCTCAAGCCTGCGCACATCAAGCATCTCAGTCACAGACTCGCCGCTTATATATTATGCGCTTAAAATCGTTTACATGGGCGAAATGGGAATTGTTCAATCAGTCCATCTATAGTATATGGTTAAGGTTTACCGTTTTCGTAATTTTTATTAGTATTCTGTACTCCTGGATACGTCGTGATTCTACAGGTAAAATTATTTAATATTTCTTAATATCATGTTTATAGTTTTATACAATTATTTATATTGTAAGTAGTATAATATGTAATATTCATTGGTACTATGGAAATATTGGTAGGTATATTAGTTACCTATAATTAACTATTAAGGTATACTCTACTATACTTATTTTATTGAGCTTTAATTATTCAAAAAAATTGGTAATGTTTATATTTTATGTTATAGTTATAGTTAGATAACTAGATAAACCTAAATTAAAAGGGTTGGTTTCCCTATGTAGAAAATTTTAGCAAAATACCACTCAATAAACACTACTTAAAATATGCTCTGGCACACAAACAAATCAATGCACAAACACAACATAGTAAATTAAGATGGTGATTTTTGCACACACGATTAACTAATATAATAATCAGATGATGATTAGTAGTATTAGTACACATTAACACATTTCTAATAGAAAATATTAAATAAAATAGAGGAGATTTTTTTTTTAGACTTTAACATTGTAGTTTATTACAGCCTGTCATTGAATTTTAAATATTGCAGTATTTCAAAACATTATTATAGCGTTACACTGTAAATTTTACAAATTATAAAATTTATTTTTTTTTACAAATTTTTACTACAATATTTATTTATTGAAAATACTTAAATAGTTGTCAAGCATGTTGTAATTTTTTTTCACTGTTAAGCCTTTGTTGTAATTAATGTGTTATATTTGAATGCAATATAAATTTAAATCATTGCATACAAAAAAATAAAAACGATTCTGATCGGAGACGTATTGTGTCATCCTAGCATAGTAATAGTTGTATGAAAAAAAAAACGGTTAAGTCGTGGATGTTGCTCTGCTGTACAGTAAGTTACTGTAATGGATGGGATTAAATTTGAATGCAATGATAGGTATCATTGTATAC